CAGCTATCATTCGAGCATTGGTATGCCGCCCTTTGAGCTGTTATATGGTAGGAGGTGTCGGACTCCCATATGTTGGGGAGAGGTTGGGCAAAGGGTAATGGGCAGTACAGAGATCGTGAATCAGACGACAGAGCAGATACAGCTGGTCAGGCAGAGGTTATTGACCGCTCAGAGCCGGCAGAAGAGTTACGCGGATAGGCGCCGGTCCGAGTTGGAATTTCAAGTCGGCGACTTTGTTCTCCTGAAGGTCTCTCCTTGGAAAGGAGTGATCCGGTTCAGGAAAAGGGGTAAATTGGGACCCCGGTTTATTGGCCCATTTCGTGTGATCGCCAGGGTGGGCCGGGTAGCCTATCGGCTGGAGTTACCAGCAGAGTTGGGGCAGATTCACAACACTTTTCATGTATCGCAGTTGAGGAAATGTATAGCCGATGAGTCGGCAGTGGTTCCACTTGAGGATATTCAGGTTGATGCAAGCCTGAACTATGCGGAGAGACCAGTGGCTATTAGGGATCGGAAGATCAAGGTTTTGAGGAACAAGGAGGTACCTCTGGTATTGGTTCAGTGGCAACATCGGAAGGGATCAGAGATGACCTGGGAGCCGGAGGATATGATGCGGGAGCAGCATCCGGAGCTGTTTTAGAGCGGGACTTCGAGGGCGAAGTCCAGTTCTAGTGGGGGAGAGTTGTAACATCCGGATTTTTACCAGGTATAATGAAAGTTTAATTATGTTATTTTGTAAGAGGGACTCGGCGAGTCGGGGCTCAGACTCGCCGAGTAGAGACACGGGATTGAGCGAAGGTGCGCGCTTGGACTCGGCGAGTCCAAGGTATGGACTCGGCGAGTCTGCGCTGTGTAGTGAAACCCTAAATCTCCGGGTTTGTGGCCTATTTAAAGGGCCTTATGGCCGTCATTTGCGCTCATCCAACCCCCAGAGTGTGTCCCTAGAGTTCTTGAGCGTTTGGTGAAGGATTGAGAGCAAATCTTGACCTTGTGAGTGTTGTTTAGCAAGAAGAAGGAGGCTCTAGGCAAGAGGAAGCAAAGGAGGTTGCTATTTCGTGGATTTGGAGCTTGGATCATCACTCTAGAGGTATTATTTTCGGACCATTTCCTGTTTGGTGAAACTTGATGCAAGTTAGGGCTTAATATGATCATTTATGGGGTGATTTGGTGCCCTTTTGTCCCCTCTTTGAGTTGAGACCATGGATCTGGATCCATAGAGGTCCAGAGGGCCTCACTCATCAAGCTTTATGGGTGAAAATGGAGTCCTTGGCCTTGTGTTGAAGTAATAGAGTCAAAATCATCATTTGTGATCATGTAGAGGTTATTTATGCATCAAGATTGTGACTTTACGTGCTAAATAAGCATGGGGGACTGGATCTATGGATTAGTGGACTGGATCTGGCCTTTAGAGCAAGATTGAGTCAGTGCATGGCACGGACTCGCCGAGTCCGAAGAACAGACTCGGCGAGTAGCATGAATGTTGCGCGACCACTCAGCGAGTGGTCTCGCCGAGTTGGGAAAGGTGAACTCAGTGGGTCAAGGGAGAGTCAGGATGGACAGGTGGACCGAGTCAAACTGGACTCGGAGTTGTTCTTGAGACTCGGCGAGTTGAGTCGTGGTGGCCCCACAACTCGTGCCAGGTGGAGCTCGTCGAGTTGGGGGAAATACTCGACGTGTCAAGGGAGGATTCCAGGGAAATTGGTGCATGCGCACGGACTCGCCGAGTCGCCATAGTGCACTCGCCGAGTCCGGTCAGAGTTGACCGTTGACCAGCGTTGACCAAGAGTGATTTGTTATAGTGTGATCAACCCTAGTTGGGAGAGTGTTAATTAGAGATGTATTGTGCTATAGGGGACTACAGCTCGGCGGATCGAGTGTTTAGTGATTTCAGGGTTACGAGTTACCGAGACACACGAGGTGAGTCTCCTCACTATACTTTACCTTGAGTAGGTAACCAGAGTTATGTGTTAGAGTATTTGTATGCTATGTATGTTATGTGTTGTACTGCATGACTTATATGTGATTTATGTGGTGCATGTTTATCAGAGCTAGAACCTGAGGGTTCACAGAGTTTGGGTGCACGGACCCACAGAGTTATAGCCTCGAGTGGCTAATATGTGTTTTATGTGGTATTTTGGGGAACTCACTAAGCTTTGTGCTTACAGTGTTGATGTTATTTGTTTCAGGTGTTAGTGACGACCGCGGGAAGGCGCCGGCTTGATCCGTACACACACGTTTGAAGTTTTACATGTTGATCTTGGGATTTTGTACTGTTTATTTGAACAAGTAAAATGGGTGTTTTTATGAATATTAGTGGAATTATGTTTTATATAAAAATCGAAAATTTTGTTTGAAAAATCAGTGTTACAAAATGATTATATTGTTACCTTTAAAATCAAAAAATAATGTTTGATTTTTTAAATAATTATAATGATAGAGATTAAAACATTAAGCAAATAAATTTTAAAAAATTAGTTAAAAATAACAACTATAAATAATATTAAATCATATATAATATTTAATTTTATTGATGTGTAACTCGCGAGTAGAAGTCATTCAAACGATTGAGATTATGACGTTATAATAGATTTATATATTATCATATAATTCAAAATAATCAGTATATCATATCAAATTAATATACAAATTATTATATCAAATTTAACAACAACATTAGTGTTATATTTTAAAAAAAGATATATTTGTAAAGACTTCAACTATATAGGTGTTTCTGCGCATTACAATGTCAACTCAAATATAAATTTCAGTTCCATTTAAAAAAACTAAAGAATATTTTGTAAATAGTTAAAAGTTATAAATTGTAGTGATAAAAGCAAAAACTAAATTGTAATCTCAATTTAACTAAAATATTTCTTAAATATATTTTTATAATCGTTAAAAGTTTCCAAATAAGTAGCATAAAATAACCTATAATAACAGTAGTTAAAAACAACTCTATATAAATGATTATATTGTAGGCTTTAAAATAAAAAAACAATGGTTGATGTTTTAAATAATCATAATGATAGAAATTAAAACATTAAACAAATAAATTTTAAAAAATTAATTATCAATAAAAATAACTATAAATAACATCAAATCATATATTATATTTAATTTTATTCATGTGTAACTCGCGGGTAGAAGTCATTCAAACGATTGAGATTATGAAGTTATAATAAATGTATATATTATCATATAATTCAAAATAAACATTATATTATATCA